AGGTCTGTACTCGGGGTATTCAAGTGCAGCAATATATTATAAGAAAAATGGCAGAGGGCTACCCATTTGATGGTACGTGATCGATGTGGTGTTTAGATATATGTTTTCGATAAAATGTTTTGTGGTATGTGATCGGGAGTATCCAAGTAATATAATATAGGTGTATATTGCATACTCGATAGCGTGTATATTACGTACTAGATAGCATATGCTTTGGATATCTGACTTCAGAGATTTTAAAACATTATCGATAATCGAATTTGGTCGAAAATTATGATATCTGACACATCAACGTGTCACCTTCGCGTGTGTCAAGAATTATGATATTTGACACATGCCTGATTAATCATAACCTAAATTAAGTGTGGCCACTTATGATAGGAAATTTGAGACGAATTGTTATCATATAATTTAATTTAATTTTTTACTTTCGATTTTAACCAACCCATCCGCCAATTTTATTTGAATTAGGACAAAGGTAAAAAGAGGTAGTATAAAGTTTATTTTTTCTTTATTAACCTTTTTTTTCTTACTTGCAAATTGGGTTCGTATTATTCTGAAGGAACAATGTTTTAAAAAGTTTCCCTTCTTGGTATTTTTCAACTGAATCCCATGCAATAAATAATAATTACGATAAGTAAAAGTCCCAAGTGCATCTGTTATATGATCCCCATTCCGTGATCTTCGCGATCGTGTAACCATATTGCGAAGAATCACCCGCGTTACTCTTTTTGCAATATGCCTGCAAGAATCTTCATTTCCTTGGGGAAAATTTTTTGGCGAGTGAGATTTGCTTCAGGAGCCTTTGTCAAATTTTTCTGCATGCCCAAAAATGTGCAAATGAAGACTTTGCAAATTATAGAGGGCAATGCACATTACTTACCGTACATGGGGCACAGGTTTGATCCGTCAATGGTTGGGATTTTTCATTTTAGCACTAATACCAAATGTCAATCGATATGAAGAGTTCCAATGGAAACATGGTTGTATTCATGTACGGTACAATCCAATTTCATCGAATGGTTCGAATGAACTTTTCCTTGGCGTTTGATCACCACTATTTGGTTATTTGGTTATTCATTTATTTATGTATTTATTTAGTCGTCGGGTAATCCGACCACGGAGACATGATTTTTCCAAGGATAGACCAGGGCATCATAAATTCGTTCGACAATTGACTTTGTACGTTATAACACGAGGTCATTAAAGGGTCGAGCCCGTGAACGACAATGGGGCAGGTGGACGGTACAGCAAAATCTCTCACACACAACACAGTACATTGTAAACGCATTCACATGCGATCACGTTCATTTCCCTTGTATAAAAATTGTCCAATGGTGATGTTAGGTGTCGTTTGATTATAACGCGCGAAGCTATTTGAAGCATCTGTTTGATTTCGGTTGCTTATGTGATGTGTGTCTCACCAATCAAATGGTTGCAACTTAGAAAGCTTCCGCCTCGCAAATTATGATAAGGCAAGGCAAGTGGGCTAGGTTATTGCATAAGCGCGCGAAAGGGGGGGAGAGAGAAAGGTTGAAATCAATTGTTCGTTTATGCACGGCTCGTTAAACAAGGAATGGGATCTTATCTTTTTGACAAAGCAAAGCACAATGGATACCTTAGTTTGGGCAAATAAAAAAAAAAAAAAAAAAAAGAGTTTTTAGACTTGCCAGATTGATAAGAGGGTATGCTATAATTTGGCACACAGGAACCGCAAGATCTCAACAAAAGGAAATTTTACGCAATACGCCTACGCTAACATGCGAAGGTCCTCGGATCGGGGAAAAGGGAACAATTGTTTTTGCTTCAATCGGTCTCGATCTTTTCATTAATATATCCATAAACAACTTAGTTCAGTCAATCAACTGATCTCGTGAAACTTGGACACGGCCTTACATCGAATGGTACGAAATCATTGGCGAAAGTTATACGCATAATGTTCGGTTTTTCAGGTCGCCGAAGTTTTTTTTTTTTTTTTTTAATAGAACCAAAATCAAACTTGTCAAGTACAAGTACAACAACTGTGTCACATTTAGAATGAACATTCATACGTCGTGAAGGGAACCATAGAGGATGCAAAAGAATTTCGTGCCTTGTTTCTCTCTTTTTTTTTAAAAAGAAAAAGAATCGACCGAATATGTGGAAAGATGATGATTTAACGCGTGCACTTTTCAATGACACCAAACTCACAAGTTCTCCGAGTGATTATGGCCTTTTTACAAAGACTCCTATAGGCCCCCTTATAGCATGTCATACAACAGCAATGCTTGGTTTCTTTATAGTTGGTCGACCTTCAATATTGAAAATTAAATATACAGTATGAGAAATCGCACGTGCAGCGATTTTTAAAAATGCATGCGTTAAAAAAAAAATTCTTGCCGAAACCTGTAGATCATCCATACATGCATGAATAAATTTAAATTTAGAAAATAAATACACCTTTGACATGTACAGTATACATGGGTGCACACACACCTGTAAACCCAATTCTCCAAAGTGAATAAGGATAAACAATAAATCCTCATTGATCACCCGATTTTTTTACGCAGATCAGGGAGTAATTTTGACAAAACTAATACTAATAACAATAAGCAAATAAAAGTAAAAAAAAAGTTCAGGGTAACGGATGATCCCTGTTCCATACCACGAGTCGAATGTACTGTACATGTCGTACGAATTTAGGATTTAATAAAAAAAAAAAAAAAAAATTAAATTTGTTAGACGAACGTACACTTTTTATCAATAGTTCATTGGTTTTGATGACACCTGATGGAATTTTTAACAATTTTCAAACTCATCAAACTTATAAACTTTTAATGACTCCTTAGCTAAGAAAACTGTCGACTGAAGATCCGACGTGCCGATTAAGATCTGTACCCTACTTTGTCAATAGGCAATACTCATGGCAAAATAATCGATATCGTCGTGAATTTCAACCTCTCCATTGATGCCCCCACTTACAGTACGGGCGTCATGATTTTTCTACACGTCTCAAAGTTTCACCGCTTCTGGTTGACCCAACGTAAAATTTCTGCGGACGAAAATGCCGTGTAATTGTATTATTGGCGGTCCATTGGAATTTTTAAAAACACTCCTGTGTTCCCGAGTTACGCGTTCGCTCGTTCGGACATTCTATTTTTCTTCTTCTGTCGATTCCCGTCGGCTGGAAACCATTGTGGATTTCCGAACATAAAAAAAAAAAAGAAAAAGGCGTGAAGATCATCTATTCTTCGCGGACGAGACGCATTCGGGGCGAAATAAACATATACTTAACCCACCTTTTGATTGGTCCTCAATGGAGAATGAGGAGCGTTATCGTAACCCTTTCACGTGATCAATAATCTATATCGGCAGAAAGTTGTTTTTACCGTTCATTCATTCGCTCTCACGCGTAGACACGAATTTGAACCTTAGGAGAGCAACAAGCAACAAAAAGATTTTCATCAAATTCTGCGCAATATTAATATCGATATGGTCGTTAACTTCATATCCGGTGACGATTAAAAATTCCCGTTGATCGAACCACGCATCATTTCAGGCGCCGTCTCTCATTCCCGATCTCGAAAAACACGCACCGAATATTACAGTAGATTGATCCACTTTCTCGTTTGCACACGTCATAAAAACCCTGCGTTCATTAATAATTCTAATGGGATTACGTAATATTTGGTGTCATATGGAAGACCCTTTTGCGCATTTCTCCCACGTTTTATGCTACCACCTCCGTACCCTTAAACCAACATTTCTATTGGAAGACCTTTTAAATGTTCTTTTTAATGAATGCACAAGGTACAATTGTCATATACAGTACGCATACAACATACTGTAACAGTAGATACATAACGACGTACAGCACACAATACTACTTATTTGTTGACGTGAAAATAACTTTTAGCCGCACGCTAGGACAAAGGAGATGAACTCTTTCATGACCTGACCTACGCATTTGGGTGACCTTGTGAAAGATTCCGTGCGTAATTTGTGCTGCAAACGAATATAGAAATTGAATCGAACTTGAAAGGGAATTGGTACGTGATAGGCTGAGCAATGCCGCAAGGTTTTGGTTTTATAAACACCCAGACCTCTATAACCCGTTTTAAATCCCACCGAAGTATGTGACAGGTGATGGTTGACCGGATGTCGCCTATTGCTGCCGTGTGCATGATGCTTGCTTGGTTATCCTCGAGGTTTCTCGAAACTCCCTCCACCCTCGCCCGTCATGCAGTCCAAGCACCCCGATAAAGAAAAAAAAGGAATCATTCTGATGACTTTGAAATACAATTCAAACTTTTAAGTTGATGATATACGAAAGGTGATGTCACCTGATATTTATCACGTGACCAGACACGCACGTTTTAGGAGAGCACCGGATCCTAACAATACTGCATCTGGTTAATTGGGCATGCGCGTACGACGCAATTGTCGGAGTGCAAGACCGAACTTCAACATTAGGAAATCGACCTCCCCCGAGCACCCATCGAGCAATCTCTTCGATAAGGTAGGAGATCGGCTTGCCCACATTCACACACCGGTCACATACGAAATGATTGCATTCCCTTTGACTATCGCAAGTCTCATATTCGGTAAGGGAATCCCAAAAGGTTAATCACAACAATAACAAAACTCGTTGAAAACACTTACGTACTCCTTGCATGAAATCATAACAATCCACTCATTCCTGCATCACGTTGCTTCGGTCCACTTAGCTGTTAATTCAACGATCCAATGAACACAATTCACGTCCAATTGTCAATTTTCACCTCAAATAAACAAATGCGCCATTTGATTCCGATAGTCCGCGACGAACACGAAGGATCACTTCCCGTCGTCCTAATTCTAGACCCTGCGTCGAATATTCAATAGCTTAGTTAAGAATCATTACATAATCCATACAGGGTCACCAAGCACCAATCAGTTTTATTCCAGAGACCTATTACCGAATTTCATTAATGCATTCATTTGTATAGGATGTAGGCAAAGCAGCGCAGTTTCCTATGGACTCACCTTACGACCAACCGGAAAGCTCCACTATTTACATAAAGTGTAAACAAATCGGACACTGCCTCAAAGCCTGCCAAAATATTGTGTGCCCTCTCTTTCTCTTCTATTGAACCTTCAAACCAATGAAACTAGACGCATGCTAATCATCGCACGTGCTTCGATGAGAAACCGTATCTTCGCCTGCTTGCGAATCACACGAATTCCCGAAACCTACAGCAAAACACACTCGCCGAAGGGATCCACAGACGATCGTTTCGTATTTGAATTTGACCGCCATTGTTTTTCTTTTCTTTCTTTCTTTCTTTTCTTTTCTTTTCTTTTCTTTTCTTTTTTAGTTTGGCCACTCGACTTAGTGATCCAATGGAGTCAAAAATAAATACATGCACCACTGCATCGGGATAATTTTGCTCAAGCCCATTATGACAATAAAAAAAACCAATACTGCTAAATGTGATTATATTTTAGAACTTTCGAAGTTGGCGACGGTGAAACGTGTATGATGTATCTACAGTATAACAACACATTGACGCTTCTAGACTTCACCGGTGACCAGATTGAAACATGCCGAAGAACAAGTAAGTTCACCCTTAACGTTCACGTACACACACACGCAAGCGGGATTGTGCGCTCCTTATTCGATAGAATTTTAAAAGTTTTCACGGTCTGTGTGAACGTTGCGCATGCATACGTGCGCATTCGCGCGTGAGTATGTGTGTATGTAAGCAAACCATCGTCCAGAGAAGTTATGCACATACAGTAACTTATTTCTCCCCATTATTTTCACCTCTCCTCTCTTTTTTTCCACTTTATCAATGTGATCAATCCATTTGTACGTAATATTTCCTTTTCCATTGGCTTTCTGTTTTTCACTTTTATTTTTTATATAAAATTCAAAATCCCTGACTTGGACTTTGCCTTTTGAACCTCTATTTTCTACCCTGATTTATGCACAATCATTGAAAGTTCCTTATATGACCTTTTGGGGGCTCCGCTATTTATACACAACGCAAATCCAAATCTAAACTGTAAATATTAAAAAAAAAAAAAGGTTTATGTATCGAGGATAGGCAAAATTTCACCGATTCTTGCTTCCTTCCTTCCTTCCTTCCTTCGAGAAAATCACAAATTCTCGCCATCATCCGAGAGTACTCAATCCGTTGAACCATCTTCGGAATCATCCCACTAGTCTATTGACGCTTTATCTGCTCTTTTTTTATTTTATTTTATTTTATTATTATTATTATTATTATTATTATTATTATATTTTGTTATTTTATTTTTTTAATTATAATTGTAGTAACAGTATCAACAACAACAACAATAATAATAATAGTAGTAGTAGTATAATTTGCAAGCAAGCAAGCACGCACACACAAAAAAAAGGCCGCTGATTTATTGAACGACAACAGAGGTTCTTGGATAACTTTTAGGTATGTATGTATTCTACAACTTTTTAAACCAAAAAAGACCTCGTGACATCGTATGAAACGCTTGTGTACTTTTCGCCAAAGTAAAAAAAAAAAAAAAACAAGTTTCTTCACTTGATGGGGTTCATTCAAGAATGATTTTCTTTGTTCATTGTCTTCTCCAGGTTTTAAAAAAATTTTTGGGCAGTCTCTTCGCATGACCCATAGATATAAAAGCTATCGAATGATTTCGATCCTTTCTTCTTCTTCTTCTTCTTCTTCTTTTCCTTCCTTACTTTTCAAAGAGATTCTCTTCTCTGGAGGATTGTCAACGAACGAAGACCGTTGCTTACTCTGAGCTCACGCGAGACTCATCTCCTCAATTTCACAATAGTATAAATAAACACTGACATCG